AACGTTTGCTGAAACTGTGGAACGAGCTACGGAAGATAAAACGATCTCGGAAACATTCATTAAACTTGACAGGAGCTGCTCTCAAATCCCCGCCACACCTCTGGAACATCTCGAAGGTGAAACGGGTCAAGTGGAAGTGTTTCGGCTGTGTGTTCCCGTGTTTTCTTCAGGGTTCTGGTTTGTCGTCAGCTCTTTATGATCCTCACCGTGTTTCCTTTGCAGCCCTTTCCGGTCCCATGAGCCTCCCTGGTCTAAGCATTTGATAATGAAGGTGCTGTCCCCAGACGGATCACATTTACGTTTGTTACCATGCTCCTTTGGGTCAGCCCCCCCACAGATAACATTTGTTACCATGCTCCTTTGGGTCAGCCCCCCCACAGATAACGCGGGGCTCAGATGCTCGGTCCACTTCTCCGTTTGTTTGTCCGTGCAGCTTTAGCAGAGAGCAAACATCGTTCCCTTTGCTGCGGCTGTAAACTTTTATTGACTCGTCTCTGCGTCACCGTTGCATCTGAAGATGAATCTCTCGGACAGTTGCTGCGCTTTTAAGTCTCCCATCCTGGACCAGGTTTTGCCTCCAGTACTGATCCTGGAGTTCATGTTCGGGCTGATGGGGAACTTCGTGGCGCTGTGGATGTTCGTCTTTCACATGGACACTTGGAAGCCCAGCGCAGTGTACCTGACTCACCTGGCCGTGGCCGACTCCGTCGTCCTGTTCTGTTTGCCGTTCAGGGCAGATTACTACAGACGGGGGAAGAACTGGATCTACGGCGATGCACCGTGTCGCATCCTCCTCTTTATGCTGGCAGCCAACCGTGCAGCCGGGATCTTCTTCCTCACGGCTGTTGCTGTCGACCGCTATTTGAAGATCGTCCACCCGCTGAACTGCCTCAGCCGCCTGGGCCTGGGCTACGCCCTGTGGGTGTCCCTCGGCCTTTGGGCTCTGATCTTCCTCGCGACTGGATACCTTCTTGCCGATGAGCACTTCTTCTACAGCAGCAACCGTACTCAGTGTGAAAGCTTCAACATCTGCATGAGCTTCACTCCTTTTTCCACCTGGCACAACGCTTTCTATGTCATCCAGTTTTTGCTGCCCGCCGCCATCGTGGCCTTTTGCACCGTCAGGATCAGCTGGCAGCTCAGAAACCGGACCCTGGACAAAAAGGGCAAAGTCAAACGTGCCGTTCGGTTCGTGCTGGCCGTGGCTCTGATCTTCATCACCTGCTTTCTTCCCAGCACCATGTCGCGCATCGCCGTGTGGATCCTGAAGGTTTGGCACAACGAGTGCCGGTATTTTGAGGAGGCCAACCTGGCGTTTTACACTTCGGTGTGTTTCACCTATTTCAACAGCGTCCTCAACCCCGTGGTGTATTACTTTTCAAGTCCGGCCTTCAGCGGCACCTTCAGAAAGGTGCTGAACAAACTGCTGAGAAGAAGTGAGGAAACTGATCCTTCGGAGGGGAACGAGGACATTTCCACCGTGGACAGAGCAAGGATCTAAAACCAGGTGATTCAATGAAAGCCTGAAGACGTTGGTTACAACAGAAATATGTTCTGGATAAAAGGAGATCCCCTCTTGTCTTGGGTTTCTCTTGCGTTGCTTCAAGACTTCTTAGGCTGCTGCTTGGATTAGTTGCATCAATAAAAGATCAAGGTAAACAAGAAGAGTCATTTCTTGTGGTAAAGTAATTCTTAGAATATTTGTATTTCTTGCTCTATGAATCAGTCACAGCACAAAGAATGAAGTTTGGAGGATGACAGATGTTACTGATCAAACGGCACGTCGAGCTTTGTGTCCACTGTCACAGGCTGAAGACAACTGGAAATCCTGTCCGTCCGTGCACGTTGTGAGCACGAGAACTTGAAAAATATGTGAATTGGGTCGCCAAGTCAAAATCATGTTTATATAAATGTGTGTGTAAAGTGAACACCCCTATGATTTGAGAGAACCATGTGTTCTAGTTTTTATATTGTTTAAAAGTATATGACAAAGTGAAATCAGGTCCTCTGGACGGACAAGCCTGTACGATCCTGGGCCTCCTCCAGGTGTCCTCCAGGTGTCCTCCATGTGTCCTCCAGGTGTCCTCCATGTGCCCTTCATGTGTAACCTGTAGGTAGAAAAGAGACGTCCTTTTCAGGGACACCACCAAGTCATTGGTTCAGGTATGTTGAAGACACCTGGGTTAAAATTAAATTTCAGGAAGTCCATCATTTTAGGAATTTTTGTGTGAAATCTTTTTATCTGTTGCTGCTGATACACTGGAATTTCCCATCCGTGGGATAATAACGGCTGTTTCTATTCTATTCATTTCAATTAAATTCAATTTAAAAATACTTTATTAATCCCAGAGGGAAATTATTTGTTGTTGTAACTCGTTATCCTCATTTCATTAAGAGATGTTAAAGATGCTGTAGACAGGAAGGATCTCTTGTAAAGGTCCATCCCACAGTGGATCCTAAGAAACTGGCTGCAGATGCTGTCCGATCCGTCCACCCAGACTCGGCTGACCTCTCAGTTCCCCCGGGCTGTAGGACCGTCTGAATACTGGGCAGAACTCCTCCCAGAGCGATGGCCACTCCTCCCAGCAGTCTGCCGAGCTCCTCGTCGCTGTGGACAGCCAACTGTAGGTGCTGAGGGACGATCCTGTCCTTCTGCTGCCATGAGCCGTGTTTCCTGCTAGTTCCAGGATCTCAGTGGTCAGGCACTCGAGCACAGCTGGCAGGTAGATGAGAATGCATCCACAGAACATCCTTTTCAACTCATTTGAGATTTGGGGCTGTAGTTGAGATATTATTTGAGCTTTTGAGATGTTGATCAGCTGCTGCTGTTGTAGAAAACTGCCTTGTTGCCATGGTTACGCATCATAACAAATGTCCAAAACTAAAAAAGTTTCAGTAAAAATCCTTCCAGCTGCTCAGCATCTGATACCAGAGGAAACAAACATCCAAAACATGTGATTTACATCCAGAAAAAGAGGAATTAAAGTTTCCAAAAGCAAAATCTCAGAATTAAAGTAACAGAGCTGCTCCAACATGCAGCCACCTGGAGCGGAGCTGTTCTGGAACAAACACACATTTCACTGGTCACATCAACTCTGTGGATAAACAGGCTCTAGAGCAATGTGGATATCCTAACTGGGCCTTCCTGAAAGAAGAAACCCAAACAGGACTCCAGTCAGCCATCAGGTGAAAAGGAGGAACCCAGACCCAGACCAGTGGTCATTCCAGATGTTGAGGGAGTATCAGAGAAACTGAGACGTTTATTTTCTAAACATAACGTCCCAGTGGCTTTTAAACCCCAAAATACATTAAAGACTGGTTCATCCCAAAGATCCAGTCCCCCGGCACAAACAGAGTAATGTTGTGTATGCTGTTCAGTGTCAGGAGGGTGATCAGTCTTACATCGGGGAAACTAAACAGCCACTGGCCAAAAGGATGGACCAGCACAGAAGATCAACATCATCAGGCCAGGACTCTGAGGTCTACACTCATCTCCAGGCCAGAGGTCACTCTTTCAGGGATGAAGATGTTCACATCCTGGACAGAGAGGAACGATGGTTTGAGAGAGGAGTAAAGGAGGCCATCTTTGTGAAAAGAAACCGTCCATCATTAAACAGGGGTGGAGCCTCCAGGTTCAACTGTCCCCCTCTTACAATGCTGTGATTGCTAGTATCACTCAGCCCTCTGTGAACAGTAAACAGCCATCAGGTGCTAATGATCCATTGTTAGGCTGATGGTCCTTCTTGAGCATGTGATCAGCTGGTTCTGGTTGTCAGCAGCAAACTGGTTGATCCACTCTGAGAAGGTGCTATTTAAGAGACTGAGCTGAAAACAGCACCTCAGACTGAGGAAGTCCTCAGGATGAGAGACGGAACGTTGCAACAATTTTATATTTTTATGTGAATCCATCTAAAGGACCTGACTTAACTTGGTTAAGAGTTTTCCATCTGGATTATTGAGCAGCACCAGGATGTTTTCCATTGAACTAATTCTGTCATTCAAAATAAAAGGCTTCAATAAACATTGTATGATTATTTCATATTTTTTCCAGGTTTTGTGCCCTTGTTGACATTTTAAAACCAGTCACTGACCTGTACTGAAGTTTATCAAGAGACTTAACAAACCTTTAAAAGCACATTAATCAGCCTTTCGGCTGATTAGTCTTCAGTTAAAGACTCCCCCTCACCATACTCCACATAATTATCATAAAAACACCACGTATTTGTGTTTCTGTGACAATACAATTTACAAAACGTCACGTTACTCTAAAAGTTAACCTTTAACTCGTGCTGTGCGGTAACTTTCATTACAACTCCTGCGTCCGCTCGGAACTTCGGATGTACGAGCTTTCGTTTTTGTCCCTGAACGCAGCACGGATTCCCAGGGTGACGTCACACCGTGGGAGTCGGGGCTGGGCAGGGAAACAGGAGCGGCGTGAAAAAAACGCGTAACGGTGCACCTTTCCACGCCAGTCCTCCGTGAGACGACCCCCTCAAAGTGAACGCGTAAGCAGCGACTGTTTATCGGCGTGGCTGCGGGTTTCATCCCGGTGTAACTCAAACAGCGCCAGGCGGCTGCTCGGTGCTAGCTAGCTAGCTGTTAGCAGCGATTCAGGACGTGAAGCAAGACGGCTCGACATGTTTGTGAGAGTTTCATCCAGAGGAGCTGGACACGGTACAGTAAGAAGCACGAGGAGTTGAAGAGGACTGTGTTTTACATCAGAGGCTGATGGAGTCACACACAAACAAACTCCCCGGCGCGTGCTCGTCTGGTCCTCCCAGGGCTGACAGCTGCAGGTGCGCTTGTTGTGGTGTTTCAAATGCCCCGGCTGGGCGGTGACCCCTGCTGTGTTTCAGCAACAATCGACCCACAAACTGCTTTACTGTACCGGCTCTACACAAGTTACTGAGGGCCATATCATCTTTTGTTTGGTGTGCATTACATGCACAGTCCTACATGAGTTGGACCTGATCAGTTTTCTGTTCTGTGCCCTGAGATGACTTCTCTTGTGACTTGGTGCTATTTAAATAAACTGAGTTGAAGTTGAATGACTAGAGACTGTCATGGTACAGGAAGTAGTCGGTACCAGTTCTTCTATCTCATCCATGCATTATTGTGTTCCATTTGAGTTGAAGTGGATTCTTACAAAGACTTGGGGGGTCCAGTTGATGTTCATCTGTCTTTTAAGTCTCATGTAGAAAACTTGGTAAAGAAACTGGAAGTTAAACTGGGTTTCTTTTTCAGAAACAGATCCTGTCTAACCCTTTAACACTTGTAACTGCAACTTTCATTCCTTCCCTTCTGGTGACATTATTTACATGATCGCTCCTACAAGAACTCTGCAGATGTTGGATGCTGTCTATCATGGTGCACCCTGCAGATGTTGGATGCTGTCTATCATGGTGCACCCTGCAGATGTTGGATGCTGTCTATCATGGTGCACCCTGCAGATGTTGGATGCTGTCTATCATAG